TTCTTTCATTAGATTTGGTGCAGAACCGTAAATCTACTCTCTTACCCCGTGACTCCCGCCACTGATTAGACACGAGGTTAATTGCAGGTACATGCAGGCAACGTGCGCGATTGCACCTCCGAGCCGTGGGGTTCACATTCTAAGACAGTGGGTCCGAAATCAGGCCCAAGGGCGTAGCCGCGTAGCCCAAGCCCAAGCCCGAGCCAGAATTACAGTCGCTTTTCTAATCCAATTAAAAGCCCCCGCAACTTTGCAGTTGCGAACTTGTTCGAAGAGGTTGCGAGTGCAGAAGGCAGACGCAGTGGCCATCGAGTACTCTCACTCGCAGCAAGGGACAATTTGTGGCACGGAAAGAAATTTGGTACTACGCCCCTGTTTTTGCAGACCCACAGAGCCATGCAACCCCATGGGCTCGCAGGACCGCATTCCTCGCTGGCTCTGCGGATGTGCGCCAGCAGAAGACCCAAAAGGGAGAGGGTGGGGACAGGCGAATGCCTCGATAACGCCAGGACCCCTTCCAATTAAAGTGAGTTCCGCCGGAGAGCGGAAACGATGCGCTCGGCGGAAAATGCGTCAAGTGTCCGCGTCCGACAACTGCATTCTAGGTGTCGGTTCGAAGCGGCGCAATTCAAACAGATCAGGCAGTGATGATTTATTGCCCACGAATGACAGCACGGCTTCGGTAAATGGAGATCTGTTGCTGGGCGATAATGATTGTCCCTTGCTTGTTAATGCTGAGTGGGTGAGTTCGGGAAGGAGGAGAGAAGAAGAAGTGGCATACAGTTTGCTTGTGGATTACATACCGTGCGAAATAAACGCCATGGCACGGATGAAAGAGGACCAGGCGAAAGGGCGCGGCACGGTCAGACCCAAAACTGGCTGGTGGTCCGCCGCCGCAAAAAATCGCCACGGGCTCACACGCGATTCCCGGCCTCGCCTTTCAGGCCGACCTGGCCAGCGCCGTGCCAGTCTCTCCTTTGTCGATTTGCTTTTGGCAGGCACCGCTTAGGCTTCTAGCGCCCAAACATCGAGATTACGGATTTGCAAATAAAGGCGGACTAGCCTCCTTAAAGAAGCAGGGCCTGAGAAACTTACCAATATCCCCTTCCCTCTCGACAAACTTTTCTCCAATCACGATATACACATACGCTCCCAACCACAGAACCCTTACCGCACCATTGTCGTCTTTTTTCCTCACTCTGCATTCACTTTTAACAGTTTTAACTTGAAGGAATGCGACTTGAGGCGATTTTACTCATTCAATGCTTTGACACCTCGCCGCCTTCCACTGACACATATCTCGTCGATGGACGTGTCAAGGACAAGAAAATTGCCCTCTTTCCCCCAGTCGCGATAATCGCGATAATCGCGATAATTTCACAATAGTCCATCAATTTCTCCTTATATATGCTAAATACAGCTTCAAAATTCAAAAATTCATTTTATGACGAAAGTTTGTCTTTAAATCTGAACCAAATTATTTTGAAAGTATGATTAAACGTAAGTTGCAGGTGACTATAGAAAAGTTTCTAAAAATTGTATTTCAACTTGTGCTTTCTGAGATATAGTTTTACAAGATCTTGCACTGCTACTAATACAAAAGAATTATTATCAGTATGACTCACCAAGTTTAAAGGATTGAAACTGGTTTTTTAAGGGTTTATTTGGGATCGCAGTTTAAAAAAAAGTCCTTTGTATTCTATTTTATTCTTTACATCGTGTTCTCCTTTTCTGAATTATAAGCAAGCTGTCACTGAAAAGAGATGAAAGAAACTGAAAAAAACAAATTTCGTACATTAATTGATGAAGACTGTTTCTAAATGTTAAGAATATTGAAGGAGGCGACAGTATCCGCTTGATGAATGAAGTGCCGCGTACCCTCTGTACGTGCATTGCCTCTTTTCGCGCGCAAAGCTCTCGCTCGATCACGTGACGCCTTTCGTTATACTGCCCATTGCATTGCAGTCGCATCTTATAGCGGCGCGAAATCGATTTTCAAGCTACGCTCCAAGGGATTCTCGCAAGAAATCGACAACTCTATTTCATTTTTTTTCATCTCTGCTGCCTCCTTACAATGTGGGAAAATTAATGTTCTCGAGTTCACTAACAGAAAATTAAGTTTGACAATGAAAGGATTATACGGAGGATTCCATCTCATAAGAAATGGGTTGTTAGGAAATTTTATTTCTAACCAATTATAGATTCATTTTTTTAATTTAAAAATTTTAATATAATCTTCTAAAACATACGTCGGAGATATAGTTGAATCTAAAATAAAAAATTTGCGCGTATAGAAAAAATTCATTTACAAAAGTAGCGGAGTCAAGTTCAATAACCCAAATCTATAATCTTGTAGTGCAAAATATTTTCTGACTTAGCTAGACATTATAAATAAAACGTGTCTGTTTCTCTAATATCTATTAATATAAAATTAAATTTTATTAAGTTTCTAGACATTGTAGTATTTTAGAGATCTATTTAAGTTCCTCATATAATTTAAGTTTTTTTTTCTATTCTTTTTAGAATAGAAATCTATTTTTATAAAAGTTATTTTATCGAAAATCACCCCCTAATAATTTGATATGGAAAATCTAATCTTATACGCATTCACCCCAATCACTGAAATACAATAGAGATATGTGTATTTATCAACTCCGAAATAGGGAATTTTATCAAACGTTCCAGTTGGAAAATAAAAAATTTTTAAATCAACTATTTTGTCCTACATGAGAGGAAAAATCCTATTACGTGATTTAGAAGAAGAATCCGTTTTGAAAAAAATTTAGAATTACCCTCAAAATGTATAGGAGAAAATAGAAAAGCTTCTATTTATTAAAATTCTTATGAAAAGTATTATAGAATTCACTATAGAAAAAATTAAAATCCATAAAGTTTTGTCATAGTGATCCCGCTGAACTTTTCATTTTGGAATGTTCGACAAAGAATGCTCCATATAAGTTTTTGTCTGACTCACACGCCTTTATCTACTTCAGCTGCTAGGCATAGCACACCCACGTAATCCAAACAATACCTTTAGTTTAGGAAAAGCTTTCCACTATGAATTTTTTCTAGAAATTTCATATTTTTTTATGTTTTACTTAAAAGTTGAATGTCAAATATTTATATTTTTTTATACATAAGAAAGAAACTGAATTTTCGGTTTAGGCAAAAATATTGGATGCAATTGTACTTTGAGAAAAATTAATTGAAAAAATAATGAATTCTTGTCGCGGTGAATATACACATTTGTCGACACGGCAATGTCTCGATAACTCAGATTTTGTGAACCTCCTATTCTTGCATGACTATCATTATATTCGCCGACGGATTCATTCATTATACATCATAAATTGGGCGAGTGCGATAAACCGAAAATACGTTTCATCCACTACATTCTTTATTCATGAGAGCCGCGCCAGTCAGTAATAAAATGTTTGTCGGGCTTTTTACTAATTATTATCAAGGGGTAGGATCGTATCTGCTACAGAATTTGGCTCTAACAAAACTGCGGTGAGTAATCGCTCAAAATAAGCAGTAACTACTTAATCCAATGTGAGGGGAGTGGGAACAACACAAAACTATTTCCCCTCTCGGAATGTATATAGGTGCAATGTATAATAATACATAATCACCCTTTAGTTATTATTTACAGGGCAGGTGTATTTAGCTACAAGAATTTATTTTAACAAAGTGTCTAGATTTTTCTGTCGCATGTCCGTCATGTCGTAGAGAGGGAAAAAAGGATTTATTTGTAAATAACAAAAATTGTATCATGTATTATTTAATATTGTGACAATGTGGACCTTCGCGTCAACTTGGCCCGGAGTCAATGAGTCTGTTGGCCTTTTCCTATGGTTCACGCACGAGCGGCTTCTCTAATTTTTTTATGGAATGACTCACACTTCCATTGTCTCAACAAATCCAAGAGACGTATTTTCCCATTTTTAAAGTGACAGCTATTATTTTATATCGCAATGTAACAAATCTTTCACTTATTTCTATTACTTCATGCTCACGTAGTCACATATTAGAAAAACCTCGAAAAGTTAGAGAATATATACTTTTAAATTCCCCAAATAAAAAATAATTAAACGCAGTTGATCATTACTTTCACTTCCATTAACAAAGTGCGGGTCACTTGATATTGCGGAAAATGGTATTTTTTCAATACATATTATGATTGAATGATGTCTCAGAACAAATCCACATAAGTGAATATAAATTGTCTGAAAAACGTGCCTTTTTCAATATTTTAAGCACATTTCGAGATATCATGACGAGTGGATGGTCAATATTTAACCTCATGCATAAACATAACTTGACAATTTGAGGAGAAAAAAATCTGCTTGGAAATCAGACGAACTCTTTCTACATAAAAGAATATCAAACATTCTTTTAATTTTGCCTTAAGTAAATGGATTTTCCTTATGAGAAATATAATAAAACTGGTTTCTATTTTATAATAATTAATGTTATACAACAAGCATTCATTTCTTTTTTTTATTCCTTCTGAAATATTTTCATTCATTCTAATTTTAAATGATTGTTTCAAAGGTTATTATAATTTAGGTGAACAAAAAGAAAAACTTTTTAAAACTATTTAAATATATATTATTCAACATTTAAGTACAAAAAGTTGTTTTTGGTCAAAAAGACCACTACCACTACCATTTGGTGAAATTCTTAAAATTTACGATGTGTTAAATTTTGACTTACTGAAATGAAAGAAAATTATAAATGAATATTAACAATGATTTAAAAAAATAGTCTATTTTTGTCGCTATAAAGGCCCTTTAGCTAGAAACATTTGTTTTTCTATTTTTAATTAATAAACTTAGCCCCAATTGATCCAAGTTTCAGTTAACTTGAACTGTCAGATAGCCATAAGAAATACTGTGCGATAAATTTATTAGGCACTTATCGGGAAGTGGATCAAGTGGGGCTTAATGGAGATGCAAATTTATATTAACCCTTTTTGAAATGTTCTCAGGACACATTTGTTAATAGCGAATTACGTGTCTTATCCAATCGTAGTAGTGCAAAATACTGACAAATACATTTGGAAAATTGTGGTTACAACGATCCTCAATTATCAAAAGTCCAACCAATTTCCCATCTACAATCGCGGGGCTTCCACTGTCACCATAACAAGTTGGTATCGATCTTTGAGCGGCTACAAAAATGCTTTCTCTCAAATTGACTACTCCAGTATTGATACCAATGACATTTTTCTTCAAAACACCATATTGTTTTTCGAGCTAAAAAGAAGTATTTTTCAATATATTTTAATTTCTAGTAACTTTAGTCCATATATTTAATCATTAGAGAGACATTAGAATATATACAACTTACAGCACTTCCATAGTTGAAGACAGTTAAATTTCTTCTTTTGCTATTATAATGCATCGGTGGATAAGGAACATCGTTTAGTGACATTAAAGGAAGCATTCCTTCTTTTTCATTAAAAACAATTGGTCTTGCCAGCTGAAATTAAAAATATGATTTCCATTATTTTTTAAATTAAAACACATCATTATTTTAGTGAAACTACTAAATTGATAGTCGAAAACATTAATCCATTTGTACCTTAATTAACGCAATATCGTTATAGATCTCATCTGAATTGTATTGTGGATGCAGTTTGCAATAAAGAACACTGTTGACATTTCCTTCGTCAAAAGAAGATAAGTTACTCACACCGGTTAAAATTTTCAATCGCTTATCTGCTCTGAAAATATTGAATTTTTCAATTACAAAGTAAAAAAAAATGTACCAAAAAAAATTACTAAGAATTATTAAAAATTCCTACTAATGTGAATTAAAGACTGGATTTTCACTAAATGATCAGTAAAAATATAACTGATCTAAGTTAGATTTAACTATTAGTGTCTGACTTTTTGCTTCTAAATCAATTATTTTTAACTGATATTTAAATTTAGAGAGTATAATTAGTAATAACGTATCCATTAAATAATGAAATTAATAATAGTTTGCAATTTACAAGACTCGAACCAGTTCGAGGACAATTTCAAATTCATTCAAATTCAAATAATAGGTATAAAAAAAAATTCAATTAAACTTTTTCAAAAAATTAATTTGAAAATTCAATTATTTCTAAAAATTCCCGCTATATTGATTTTAATATTCAAATATTATCTAAAATTTTAACTGAAATTCATTTTCAAATCAATTTTTATAAGAAAATTAATCCATACTAGAATTATTCAATTATTTAAATACAAAAATAGATAATTTATTGAATGTTTCTCAAAATTCAATTCTCATATATAGAATTTTATTATTTTTCAACATAATTAAATTTCTTTTTAAGAATTTTATTACCTACTCTTGAAAATAATTGAATTTCTCCAATAATTTTGTAACTTCTCCAAAATTAAATTTTTTTAGTGATTTTTAGTAAATTGTTTCTAAAAATCCATTATGTATTAATAATTTTTGACAAAGTTCTTTAAGAATTTTCAAATTCACTTGTTTAAAATTCAATTTTATAAAATTTTAATTATTATCTATAAATTGAAGTGAAATTCATTTTTGAATCAATTTTCATTTATTATTTATGAAAATAATTAAATGTTTGCGTAGAATTTTATTGAAATTTTTTCGAAATAATTGAATTATTTTGGAAAATTGCGTATTAAAATAATACATATTGAAAATCATTGAATTGAAGAAAATGTTTGAAAATAATATAAATGGAATTTCAGAGAAGAATTTTATTATTTATAAAGATAATTGAAATTTTGTTGAGAATTTTTTTAATTTTTTGACCATAATTGAATTTTTGCGAAGAATTTTGTTACTTTAAAAATAATTGACAAACTTTTTGTTCTTTTTGAATCAAATTACGGACTTTACGGACCTTTTTTTTTTTTTTTTTTAAAAACGAACTTTTACGGGATTTACGGACCAATTTCGAGCCCTACATTTATAAAAAAATTATTATTGCAACTATTTTTATTATTTAATAAATAAACTTACTGTAGTTTTAGAACCTTTGCTGTCGTTAGAACCCATTGATTTGAAATTATTACTCCTGTCATAAATGGGTATTCTTGAAACGAATCATCAGCCAATATTATTGCCTGAAATCGGGAATTTTACATTAAGAAACGAAACAGAGTCATAATTATTGGGACAACTAAACTTTAGAATTTGTCAACCATTTTTTTTTATGTCTACTGAAAATGAAACTAAATAATATTTCTGCTAATTCATACCATGAAGGGTGCTTCAAGTATCATCGGTTTATTAAACATTTCATGTTCCTCATAAGTCCAAGGTCTCGGGTAGTACCTATTTGGCCTAGGTGTATAGTAATCAGGAGTATAATAATCTAAAACAGTCAGAGGTGAAAGAGAATGTTTAATTTTGGCAAAGAAAATTAATTCTCACGCTGACGCAGTGGCGACCTCAATTGAAGCGCAGTCTTCAGAAAGAAGTACGCGCTCTACTCTTCAACTCAACTACTGATGGTACAATTTTTAAATTACGTATCAAACTTTAACAATATTCTTTACTGTGCTTAAAATTTGCAACTAAAGAATTTGAGAATTTTACCATCAGAGGACAAGACTTGAGTAGAAAATTGAAGCACTGCACTTTTAAGATCAAACGCTTCAATTGAGGCAAGTTGTTCTCAAACGGCTCGTTGGAACGACACTTTTTTTACATTCAGCAAACTTATAAAAATACAGAAAAACATCACTAAAAGTAAAATAATATTAATGACAGAAATAAATAAATACCTCTCTGAGCTTGAATGCTCTTTACAGTGAGGAGAAGAAAAACGAAGACACAATGAATCTCCATGATGAGTGAATCACAAACTGAGACAACGTAGTGGACATTTTCATCTACTTATATAAAGAAGGGAACCGGAAGTTGTAGCCTCTATCAAGAATATTAACGGATATAAAATTCTGTTTTAATTTGCTCTCCTCATTCTTTTATCGCACTAGAATGTTGGCAAGGACACGATACTCTTATCTTTCATTTCATAACAAAAACAGTGGGATATTTTTTTATTGACGTGAAGCGTGAAATCAGTTACCGTCGAAAATATGACAAGTCATTGTACGATTCACTCCCAAGGGAGAGTACTACGATTTCACGTCCATACTCTACTCATACAGTGTGAAAAGTCAGCGACCTTCCTAGAAAATTACAAGAAGAATAAACTTGAATTTGTTAAATTACTTATTTTAATTTCTCCATTTTTTCCAGTATATTAATATTTCAAACAGGTAGGTACAATTTTTAAATTATCCATTTAAATTCTAAGAAAATTATTCAACAAAAATATTATTTATGGCAAAACATTTTCATTCATTCGAAAACAATTTTTAGTTGTAGAGATGCATTGCATTGTGCATTCGATTACTTTTAGGTATAATCCATCATCACTAGTCAGTTTGTTATTATAGTTTTACCAAGTTAGTACATTTGACTGAATTTTTATAATCTATACACATATATATAATCTATACCAGTAAAACGTTTTATCGTAGTAATAGAATATCATTGTCAGCAGTGTGCAGTCAAGTTTTCTTCAATTTACCTGACGTTCTTGGATTTATTTTTATGCAATTAAGTATTTTTTTACTTTTTATGTTGTATCTCTAACTTTCAATGTTTCTAAATTTTATTTTCAACTATTATTAATAATTTATTCAATACCAATAATAATGAGTAATGTATTGATAAAATGAGATGAAATTGTAAATTTTTTACAAAAATTATGTTCAAGTTGAAAACTTTGAGGCGAATTAAAAATTCATTTTAATATTAAAAACAAAATTCCCCATTACTTTAATGATATTGATAAATTATAAATAATAAGAAGAAGCATTAAAACAATTTAACTTATTATCTGTAGGATGTACGCTATTATACCTCCAAGGTTAAAAGTCATAGAAATTTCGTCTAAGTCTATGAGAATAAATAATTTCCTAAATTTCGTGTTTGTTTCCCACCAAATTGATATCTGTTGAGTTCCTGTTATGGCTGACAATAGCATTCCAATCTAACTCCATGCGTAAATTATTTTTTAGCACTGTTTTATAGTTTAGTTAAGAAACGAATAATAAAATTTTCAAAATTTTCACGATCTCTTACAGTTTTTTTTTTTATTTAAAACGATCCCCCTTGAGTGCTAATTTTTAATTTGTTATTCTTAGTATAGTTATTTATTTACAGAAATTTATCCTGTGAATAAATTATAAAAGAAATAAATAAAGTTTTAATTGAAAATTGGAAAAGTCAGTTTTTTTAAAAAAAAGATCTGTAAAGTCCGTAATTTGATTAAAAAAGAACAAAAAGTTCGTCAATTATTTTCAAAGTAATAAAATTCTTCGCAGAAATTCAATTATGATCAAAAATTTTTAAAAATTCTCAACAAAATTTTAATTATCTTTATGAATAATAAAGATAAAGTTCGTTAAAAAAATAATTTTTCATCTTCTGCTGATTCTCGGCTGTGGTTACTTTTTATGAATTGTGAATTAAATTAATTTTCCTGACCCAGATAATTATTGGAATTGTTCTAGTAATAGTTTGGGCCCAGGAAAAAATTTATTGACTAACAATTGTTAGTAAACAGAAGATAAAGTTCACTCAAAGAATAATTTTTCATCTTCTGCTGATTATCGGCTGTGGTTACTTTTTATGAATTGTGAATTCAATTAATTTTGATGACGCAGATAATTATTGATTGATAATTATTATTGCGTGTTTAAATTTTTGGTTTTTAATTCTTATTAAGTTTTTGATATTTAGAGATTTAAAGAAATTTTTAGAGCGGGAGCTGTGTTATTAGGCCAGAAATTTTTTAAATTTTTGACTGGAATTTCATAAGTATTGACCTGGAAACCATAGAAGAAGCCTGGAATTTTATATTTATTATTTTGTGTCAACCATACTAACCATGAATTTACGAATAATTGAAATTTCGTAAAATTAAATATTGTAAACAAATGAATTTGAAAATTGTCAAAAAACGTTTTCGAAAATTATTGAAAACAATTGATTTCAAGAAGAATTTTAGTTGAAAATTCTTGAAAATAATAATTGAATTGAAATGATGAAAATAATTTGAAAAAAGTTGCATTAGCAATATTCTTTTAATATAAAATAATGAATTTATCACTATAGGTCATTTTTAATTATTATAAAAAAAGGAGAAGTCGAACGGTAAATGGTCCGGAATTTTTCATTTTTGGTCCGTAAAGTCCGTATTTTTAAATATTTTCACTGGCTCAAGCCCTGAGTATAAGTTTTCTCAAAAAAGAATGTACTTTTTGTTAATAATTGTTCATGGTAATAAATAAACAGCAGTTATTGACATGCAAATACTACATATTTGTAAATTCTTTCAACTGTTGACATCATATACTATCGTATGACGTTACAAGTGATAAAAGCAGTCTATGCAATTAAAAAAATGTTGCAATATTACATAAATTTATTTAAACAAAGCACCTACATATATCCATTTTGTTGACAGTAGGTTTTAATAAAATACAAAGCTATTAATAATAATTCTTGAATTTTATTCCAAAAACTGATTTTTCAGTTATACTGATTGTATAAAATATAACTATTATTGACTCGTTTGTGACCAACTAAAATTACGAATTTTATTGTGATATCAAGAAAGTGAAAGAAGTAAGTTTTAAATTTAGATAAAATTGATAGTAATTTGTCTAAATCAGCATTCAGCAAGAAAGCTCCACAATGTTTTCCATTAAGTTTATAAGATGAATGGGAACTTGTCCCTTGAGAATAATTCCCACAATTTTTCCACATTGTTCAAACGAAGAAAAATGCAGTACAGGCAAAGAGTAACTAATTTAATTTATTTTCTCCAGACCACAATTTAAGAATAGAGGGAAATATAAAAGTGTGTAAGAATCATGTTGTTTTCTTCAGTCGGAACTCGATCGTCACCAAAGAAAGCCATGAACTTTCAACTGACTAGAATTCTTACTTTTTGCGCCATGTGTATAAATGTTTCATTGTCAAATAAAATTCAAACTATTCATTCTCAAGAGTTGGGTGAGTGAAAGTGTTTTGACCAAGATTTCAGCGAGGGGCGATTCACTCTCAGAGAATGTGCTCAGAATACTGAGCGAGTGCCTCGCATAATATATCCAGAAAGACTCGGAGATCGGAGTGAATCGCCACCCGAATTTTTGCAAAATTTCATAAATATTATTTTTATTTTCTGTATCTTATACACATAAACAAGGAAAATAGTTGTAATTTTTCAGATAAATTACTGAAGGCACTAAAGAAAGTTGTTGACTTCATGGCTGCCAGACCTGAGGAACTGAATCTAGATGCTGCTTATGGATTAACTTTAGGCGAAGGTACGTTTTTCTTTCATAGTAAAATAATTGTTTTTATTGTTGTTTATTGTTTAATTTTAAATATTTTTTTTCAATCCATCCAGCTCATCTGATGAGTGCATCATCTCATCATAATATGCGTCTATTAACTTTGGAACAAGAGGAAAATTTAAAAAGTCTTTTGAATGAGTGCAGCAAAACTAGAACTAAAATAAAGAGACTCATTTCTGCTAAGAGCGGAAGTGACTCCTACTGTAAGTATTTATTCAAACAAAAAATATTTGTCTAAAGAAATTACAATTCATCTTCTTCTTATTGCTTCAAGCAGTTCCTTTTGTTTATTAAACTTGAAAAATTAATTAAAAATTTAGTCTAATACGACGCAAATAATTGTAATAATATTTAAATTTTTGTACTATATCTTTTATTGAGTATATTAATTAAAATTGCATGTATATGTAAAAAATGTATTTCAGATATGGAGAGTTTACCAGCGAACCACGTTTTGATGGAACCAAAGTATTGGTCACATCCAGTTAATTGGAAAAGTGATAATTTTAAATCGACTGCACCAAAAAATTTGCATAAAAATGACTTTATAATCCAAAAATTAATTTGGCATGGGAAACCTGATGAAAATGAAAGTGACAAGTGCATTATAGGAATATTGAAGGAATTTCAGAATAACACCTGTGAAATAGCGGACGATTGTGAAGCGATGCTTCTGGAAGACGATGATCCACAAGGTTACTCCACAACCCACCGACTTCTTCTTCTTATGATAGCAAAGGCCGTGAGTTTCAAATAGAAATTAATAATACAATAACGAAAAGAAGCAAATGAACCTGAATATTTATTTACTCAGTTTAACTGCAAGGAATTAAAAACTGTTTCATCCGATGAACTCGTACCAAAATATTGTTCTTCAATTTTACAAAATCTAAAAAGTCTAGATGCACTTGGATTTCCGTCTACTAGTTTGGATTTAGCTATGGAAGAAGGTACGTTTACAAATTTATTTCATCTTAATACAAACGCTAAAAGAATTTTTTCAACGTTTTCAGTCCTTCTCTGTGGAACACAAGGTTATTTAGAGTTTCTTCACAACCAATGGCTGAATAACATCTTAAGCTGGCAGAAACCAAGTGGTTGTTATGATGCATTTTCAAAGTAAATTTATACTTTTGGCTATTCCATGTTTACTGCAAAATTTTAATAGTGCCACTAGTGAATTGACAGTGAAAAGTTATCTCAATTTTCAAATAAAAACAGGGTTGCCACGCAACCTGGAAAACCTGGAAATTTCAGGGAATTTTGATCGAAATCCTGAAAAATTATTGTTTTTAAAGTTATTGTGCTTATTCTGGAAATCTAATTTTTCTTAAACATATCAAAATTAATTAAATTTTAAAAGAGTTGCGTTTACAATTTTTCTTCGCAATAATTCAATTTTCCAAAAGAATTATTATTATTTTCATAAATAATAAAAATTTCACAGGAATTCTATTATTTACAAATTCTTTATAAATTTCTTCGCAATAATTCAAATATTTTCATAAATAATAAAACTCATCGCAGAATTTCAATTATTTTTAATACAATTTTAATAGAATTCCTCGAAAAATGTAATATTATGTATTATTGTCAATACATTTTTAATTAAATTTCTTGAAAGAATAAAATTCTTCGTAGAAATTTAATTAATTTCAATAATTTATCAAAATTCAATTATTTTCAATATCTACTATTTCAATGAAATTTCACAAAAGAATTCAATTAGCTATTAAAAAAGAAATATTATTAAAAAATTTGTCTCAAGAATTTAATTACAGTCGACTCTCGATAAACTGAATCTCAAAGGGCACAGAAAAAATTCAAATTATCGAGGGCGTTTTTTAACGAATGTTTAAAAGTGTTAAAATTATTTCAAGGGACCAGAAAAAAATTTAATTTATTGAGAAGTTCAATTTATCGAAAGTTTAATTATCGAGAGTTGACTGTAATAATTTCAATTATTATCTAATTTAGAGACCAAGTATTTTAGCGTGAATTTTTAGAAATAATTGAATTTTAAAAAGGTTTCAAATTATAATTTTTGAACGTTTCAATTTTTCATACTTTTAACTGAAAATTATGTAAATTTAATTTTTTTTTAAAGTTTAATTAAATTTTTTTAAAGTTATTTGAAGTTTTTATTTTCTAATATATATCATTAAAGAATTTTCGAATAACCGATGAAATTTCGTAAAATTGAATTGTAAACAAAAGGATTTGAAAATTTTCAAAGAAATTTTTCAAAAATTATTAAAAATAATTAATTTAAAGAAGAATTTTAGTTAGAAATTCTGGAAAACAATAGGGGAGGATGGGGCAAGGATAGTTAGGTAAGACCTTTTCGGATCTAGCGGCCAAACTTGATTATGTATCTGCAAATGAAAAGTATTTTTGGAAAGCCTGATTATTTGGCTATAATTTTGCTGTACATTATTTTACTGTAGACTCAAATCCCTACGAGATACGAATGAAAAAGTAAACAAAAATTTTTAACTATCCTTGCCCCAGTACCGGGGCAAGGATAGTTAAAAGAATTCGAATGCCAAAAATGTTATAGAAAATCAGTAAATTTTTGTTTTTTTTATTTTACTGGATTTAGACTATTCAATATTGATATCCCAAGTATTAAAAATATGTATGGGACATTTTCTGAATTGCAATTATTATATTAAAATTCATCTGAACTAGAATCAGAAGTTTAACCAATTTTTTTCAGACGACCACCTATTTCTTGGTCATAAGCTTCGTTTTCCGTATATAATTACGCAACATTATGTATATCAACCTAAAAAGAACAATTAAACAGTTTTTTAAAATTTTCAATGGTATTAACACGCTTTTACCGTGCCGTATTATCTCTAACTATCCTTGCCCCATGAGCCCATATTTCAGTTTATTCCAAATTTTAAGGAACGACGTGAATTAATTTGAAAATAAATACGATATTCGTGTTCAGCAGGAAATTCCACTCCGGAAAACATTTTACGTAAAAAATATTCTGAAATTCTAATGTAGAAAACAATATGATAAACATTACGTTGACATTTTAGCAAAACAGACTTTTTTCAAAAATAATCTCCCAACTTCGCAAATGGTGACAGATTGACTTGCAATTTTTACAATCACCTTTTGGTGTTAAAACGCGAATATACTATGAATTACGCGATTTTTGAGCAAGCCGTCTAAGCATAACAGCAACTAACTATCCTTGCCCCTTAACTATCCTTGCCCCATCCTCCCCTAATAATTGAATTTAAGTGATGAATGTAATTTTGAATAAGTTTCAGTTTCTTATAATATAAAATAATGATTTTATCAGTCTGTCATTTTTAATTATTTATAGAACATGAAGATATCGATTGCTCCGAGTCGAAGACTCGGAGTGATCGATTTCTTCATGTTTTATAACAATTCGTTATAAGTTGTTTAATTTCAAAAAGGTTTGAGTTTGAAATTTTTGAAAATCCTAATTCTTATGGAAAAATTATAATGACTAATTATTTAATTTTGTAAAGTATAAATAGTTTAAAAAACCTGGCAAAATTCCGTTTTTTATCCTGGAAAAGCTGGAAAAGTCAGGGAATTTGAAATGAGCAAAAGCGAGGCAACCCTGAAAAAATTTTTTAGTACAGATTTAACTATCAATACTATAATATTAATAAAATTTGGTAATCATTGTTGCAGAAAATACAAACATAAATCACGAAAACGAAGATATTCGAACAAAATTGATTTTGGATGCGAAGATCATACAACTGGACTTGGTGTTGGTTCTATTGCCTTATTCATTAGGCATTACATAGAAAACAATATTGATAAAGTACCTAACTAATTATCAATAAACAAATTATCATTTTTGTCGTATCAAATTTCTTCTTATTTGCACGACGGTACACGGAGAAAAAGGAATAGTTGACACATCCAGATACATGGATATCACAGCCATATTATATTGAAAAATACGGGATATCCATAGTTAAGGTTGCTGCATCCATATTCTATGGCTGGCTGTATATTGTTGGAGTAGCAAAAGATCTATGGTTGGGTGATCCATAGTAATGGAAATGGGAAACAAAAAAATTAGAATCACTCAATTAATTAAATTCTATGTCACTTGAGATATTTTATACACATTTTTGTTAATTAATACACACCACTTATTGAATAACCGCATATTTACGAAATAAATTATTAACCGATGGGGGAGACACGAACCCTAGACCTAACGCATACTAAACACTAACGCTATCCACTACACTATACACGCAACTACAATATTTGAGCATATAATATTCCTTATATACTCTACACATATTTCATGAAAATAAATTTACATAAACACTAATAGACAATAACGATAATAAATAATAAACAATTATAACACTATTTATACACAATAAACTCACAACCCGATTATATAGACTCGACAAGAGACCGACGCGAAGGACAAATTGAGACGTCCATTTTTAAATGGATGCCATGATAATGAATTGCGCGCAACATGTATCGAAATTTTGAACTAACTATGGATCTCCCAACCAAAGTTTATATGGATGAGGCAGCCATATGTGAAAATCCATAGCATGAATTGTAAGCCCAACCATGCTTATGGATGTCACATCCATATTTGATTCAACAATATAATATGGCTCCCTCATCCATTGAATATGGAATGTGCTTCCATTCTAAAAGTTGTCTCTTCCATTGAATTGGATAACACAACAATATTCTGCTCAACAATATTTTTATGGATATCTCTTCCAGACCTTTTCTTTCCGTGTATGGTATGGAAAATTATTATTGTTTAAATCTATTCTTTTCCTTTTAAAATAAAATAACAAAATACTGTATACATTTTTGATCACTACTGTACATTTCGATAAAAAAGAACAGTAATGACTTCCACTGTACATAGGTTTTACATTCTCAAACATTATTTATCTTTGCTGTACTTTCCGTGTACAGTAGTAACAACAATTATTTGTTACTGAGGAAAAGAGGAACTACTTTGTAATATATAATTAATTTTTAATTTATACTCTTTGGCGAATAACACCTATCAGTATTTTGAACCTGCATTTATATTTATACTTTTTATAGATCATTATTAAGAAAATATGAATTGCATAGGGGTTATAGAAAGTAAATAAAAGTGCTAAATTTAAGACTGACTTTAAATTAAGATTTTCTATTTATTGTATATAATAAAAATGTTTCCAAGACCTATCTATATACATAAAACGGAGTAAATTATAGGAAAGCAGATCTTTCTTAAAGTGAACACCATCTCGCCTTCAAGTCTCACCATGAAATATTAAGTTTAAAAAAAAAACTTGTATAAATAAAATGAAACGTTTGTATAGTGGAAGTGAGTTCTTGTTTCTATGTGGCACAATTCTCGAAATAATTAAAACAGACCAAAAGAATGCAGATGACTGTGATATTTGGCTGTTCATGGGACTAAATTACTGCAATTTAGTGGGTTTTTCTTGGAACCAATTAAAATTGTGTATTTTTTTATAAATTCGTGGAATATATAAAAACATACAATGATTTGATTATAGAAGTCAATATTATGAGGCGGATCTTCCGTTTTAAAATTATTACATTTTTTGTATATTTTTTTATGATCGTCATTTTTATTGATAACATATACAATGTTTTAAATGTCATTAGGTTAAGACAATCAACGTCGGAATTATGTTGCGTCTCAAATATAATGGCCCAGTTATAATAAATTACGTTTATTATATAAGTAACGTGTGCCGATTCAAGTCATGACGTACGTAAAATAAATAATATTTGCAAAGTTGAAAAATATTTTTTGTAAATATTTTATTTGGCAAAATTTGGGCCATCATCACTATATACAGTTCTCGTCTCTTAAAATATACTGGGCGGTCATCTTAAAAGAAGATAATTAAGCAGCTAAAGGAGGCTTGAAAAATGACTCTTAAAACAGGAGAGACCGCATAGTGCAATAAATGCTAAAATTCGAAACCACGTTTTCAGCGAAGGCCTTCAACGTTGAGTAAGAGTAGAGTAGGTATTGGGCATGATTTCACAGATTTTCGTGTACCTGACTCTTGAAACTGTCCCGTCTTCACAAATAGAAATAGCCAGGCATCAAACTGAAACATTCCTCCTTAGAAACTGTTATTTAAATTATTATTATAAGCCCATAAATTCTAACATAATATTCAATATCTCATCAATATTAATTATTTACTTCAGCGACCTTGTCTCTCGGAATTTTTTACGACGGTATCATTCATTATCATCATCATCATCATCATCATCATCAACAATGGTTTTGAACGTAGTCTTTTATTTTTTGCGTCGATAAGGGTCAAAACCTTGGATTTACATTTTTTTTTTTAGAACACCTTTAAATAGTTTAGGTTTTTATTTTTAATTCATCAGTAATGATTCACTACACCGATAGCCAAGTTAAACAAACACCATTCTAAATCTGCCTTACAACCTCTCAATCCATGTTTTTTTATAATAAACGTAAACATTTAAATTTTTTGGAAACGATGACAGTCAATAAGGAAGTTAGATGTTTCTTCTTCTTTTGGCTCAAGTATTTCGCTATTATGGCGAAACATTCTCAGATACTTTCTTTCCGTGCTTTATAATCGAATTTGGTATTAAAATAAGAAGCGTTGCATCTTGCGTTTGGTTACACCCATTTAAACGAAATTCATTTCCGCTTTATTCTACGGAGAGTTATCACATAATAACGAAATTACTAGTTGATTGAAACAAAAATTTAGCCAACCTGCAGAACGTATTATGTGTTGGTCCCTTTTTATATACGCCCACCTTTAATGGGCTTACGAGTTATATATATATACTTTTGTGGTTGTGTGAAGATTTTCGCACGTGTGTGCTGCCGACTCTGTATTGTCCCTCTGCTGTAAGTGTTTAACATATACATATCTCATTCGGATTGACCTTACCCTCTTCGGAAGTTTATGCCGCATTCCAATAGATATTCCAAACGATAAGAAAAAATATACCCACAAATCGTTCCATTTAATTGATTTTTGCATTGTTGCAAAGCTGAATAATTCTCGTGCATGCAAATTTTATGTATATAAAAATGCGAATATTTGAGCTAAGAAAATATATTAAAGCCGAAATTAAATTGTACATTAGGTTAAGAATATGTAACATACAATAGATAAACTGACATGTGTCAGAGAGATGTTCCTTCCTAGAGTCAATGACGTCGCATGTGTAGCTGAATCAGTCGCGATACGCGTTATCATGTTCAGGTTCTTTACTGCTGAGTAAAAATGCAGGCTGTATGGTCTACAATCCTTCTTAATGAAACGATAGAGGCCTCGAGTTACTCGATAAAACACAATTCTCGGAACTAATGTTGAATTGACATTTTCCTTTACAAACATTTCTTTGAGAACAACTTACAGTAATTCATTCGAAAATCTTACATAATCATACTTACATCAATAACTCTCGATAGATCACCAAAATAAAGAATGAGTTCAAGTGCGGACATAAGTGCTTATTATTACAGAATAAGTGGAAAAAATGAACGTAAAAATTTTATTGCTTTGGACACTCCTCTTTTTCATACAATTTTTTATCCAATTTTAGAAAAAGTCCCCACTATTGTTACACTTTACATGCGACAAAAATGTATCAAGAATATTGGTTCTGAATATTGGGCCATTAAACTGTGACCCAAAATGGTAAGTGTTTGTTTGTCGACTGAATGACTTTGCTGGCACTGGCACTTTAAGAAAGTAACCTGCAAAGTAGTGTCACCCTTCTTCTATTCTGAAAATTCAATAGAGCGCATGAATGAAACTTTTTCTTAAAAAACCATCACTAAACAGTGGTGGCGCCTGCTTTTCCTTTTCGAACTAAGGAATGTTTTTCTCACAATTTTTGGAAGTCCATATAAAACCCCTAATTTCAATAGAATAAAGCAGACAAATAGAACAAAAATTATCGCAGCAGTTTCGATTCCCTTTTTTCTCTAAACAAAGAACTTGACATTCTATTTGCATTTTTAAAAACAAATTTTACACTTTCGTTCAGTATGAAATGAAAATGTAGAATCAGTAGAAATAATTATTTTCCCAACCACGCTAATGAATGGATTTTTTCCATACTGTGTTTAAAGTTGTATTGAAAATTCCTTCTCAACTGCGCATTATTCTCAGATTACGAAAACAATTTTTAATGGTTCTTTGAGGCTGCTTAAATAAATCTAGAGCTAGCTGAATTTGATCAGGGTTAGGCCCAACCTTTCTCAGGCCGGGTCAGTGCACATTCGTCTTCCAAGTTCTCAGAATCATTCAGCAACGACCGTGGACCAAAGGCCTTTAAAGATGCGGAATCTTTCCACTTTTTCTCCTCACTGGTCCTTATATTTCTTTCTTCTGCTCTTTGTCCTTTTTCGTACTCTGTCTCTGTTTATCGCGGTTTGTTTATTCTTTCATAGCCGACTAGTGGCCTAGCGCCACACACCACGTGACTCAAAATCAACAAATTTCAATTTCAAGCAAAATATTTTCCTTCCAAGTTTAACTTTTCATTTCGTTTGCAGTGTATATACACTACAGATGAAAACATTAAGGTGAATTCCTTGTTTGGCGGAGAGAGAAGAAGTTTATATTTCTTACATGGAAAGAGTTCTTTTTCAATACAATCAGAAAATTATTGTTTTGAAGATCAATAATTTTCTGATCAGTGACTTTATCGGAAGTACATGATTCTCCTATAACAAAACACTGCTTTTGATAAATTCTGGTATCAATTATGTTTTGTGTAGAAAATTGTATTGATTACAAACATCAGCTAATAACTGTTCGGTCTTTATGGATAAAATAGCATTTTCTCGAATACATATTCTTAAATATTCCTTTGAAAGAAAGAAGGTGCATAATCATGGGCGAAAGCCATTATGGGCATGAATAGCCACTGAAATGTTCATAGAAGCCTTTCTTTCTCTTTCTTTGTTCCCTTAAATATCAGACATGCAAAAGTTGGTTCTTCTTGTTGATGTTGTGCTGCGAAAGCACTCTTTTCTTTACAGAAGAAGACTTCTGTGTAATCCTATTTAAAAATAAAAGGAAAGGTTCCTCTAAACGTTATTGTACAATCCGCAAAAATTTAAAAGTACTTGTACTGATAGATTGCACATCTCTATGTTGAAACCTATCAAATTCCTATAATGAAGAGAGCTTCTTTATAAGTACACAAAAATATGTACGACCAAGCAGTTTTCGGTAGTTTCTTTCTCACCATCCGAAATATTGGGATTGCTTCCTTTGTGCCTTCGTATAAAAGCAAAAGCCTTTATGTGTATTTTTCAATCGAAGAATAAATTCAAGTAAAAGTCGGGCAATCGTATACAAAGTATTAATTTGGCTTTGAGTCCTATTTTTTAAGGAGACCCAAACTGGAAAAATCTCGGAATGTGTTTACTGTTTCTTTGGACACTTTCTTCCCATTGAGAGTCCGTGTCCCGTGTCAAAGGATGAATGACATTCTTTTTGAAAAGTAGTGTTGGCCTTAGCGCCACATATAATGAAAATCAGCACCATTTCAATGAGAGTTTTGTCTTCCGCGTGGTCTTGGACATCCGGCTTTTAAGTTCTGGATTCGGATAAAGAAACGATTGCTTTTCTCGAGAGCCGCCTTCTTTGTCTTCCCCCGCTTTTTGGAAAGTGATCTTCCGAAGAATGTGGGTGGACCTCCCTGAGGGGACTCGAGATTAGGCTTTTCCGAGAAGGAAACCTGCGCGCCCTCTTGTTGCACTTGTACCAATAGAGGTTTGCACTTTTACTACGCATCAGTCTTCAGCAGTCTTTTCTTCCCATCTCTCAATGGGTGCGGAGAGTTTGAATGAACAGCAATGAACAGGCAGGCGAGCCGAGAGCCTAGGCGCCCGTAGTTGACAGGTTGCCAAACAGTGTTTGCTCTCGGGTCGCTCTTTGTAATTACCTGGCCAAGCAAATGCTCTGCTTCAACAGAGACGTGTTTTCCTCGAAGGCTACGAGTGACCTCCGCCGATTCAACAATCGACGTCTTCCATACATTGTGTCAGAAGAATTTGAAAACGATTTGCCACACTTTACTCATATCTCTGTTCTTGAAAAGTATATCTCTTTGTTGCATCCGTTTTCATTGAAAGAAACGCTTTTTCTCTCCTTGGTAACTGAAAACCACCCACACTCAACTTTCAAAAAATTGTTTCCAATCTCCTTGACAATTTTTTTGTGCCATGAAAATTGTTTGTTAATTTTCAATAGAGAAACAGTTTTTCCATCCTTGGCGCACGTAATTAAATAAAAATTTAATTCTTTCTAGTCCAATGAATAAAATAATAATTAATATCGAAAGTGCGAATAAGGAAAATGTTGTTTTTGGTTTTGCGAGTTGATTGTTTTTTTCTGACATTCCGCAGTGATGATTGTTTTAGGTAGTAAGTTGTTTGCATTGTCTGAAAAGCAGATTCCAAGGAAGAAGCGCGTCTGCATCCCAAGCAGCCGCACCAAAATCTCATTGACTACACTGAGAATCACTCCCCCATTCAACTATATGTACGATTCTTGGATGAATATTTTTACATACAGACATTTTCTATAACTATTCTTCACGTCGATAACCTCAGAATGGAACATTCTTATCACGTACCAACACGAACTTTCGTATACACAGTGTTAACGTGCTCTCTCTGCGATGGAATCTTTCCCAAAAGCCATTACAAAGATTCCAACTCTAATTTCTACACATTGATTAATAGCAGGCAGAATATTCAACAACTTATTTTCCACTTTTTATAACAAACGTTATAGTTTCGCTTAATCCGTGCGTAGACAACATTTGTTGTTTTTTAATTATTTTTCTTCATTTTCACATATAAAATTAATCTGTATCTGAAATGGACGAAAAGTCCATCAATCTTGATAATAGTTAGGAGGGGAGCAAATGTTTCCCAACTATACCACTTGACAGAATTATCTTTTAACCGAAGTGCCACGTAATACAATTGTTTCAGTGCGAATTTCAAAACTGACCAATCATATAATTACTTCGACAACTTTTAATTGGTCAATTCTAAAGTTGTCACTAAAACAATTATCCTGGATAGCAGTTTGATTAAGTGACAATTCAGTTAACCGATAATTCTGTTAAAGGGTTTTCTCTTCTACTACTACCCTTCACAACTGTTTAATTATTAACATTCACTATCGCTGACAAATAATGATATAAATCGACAATTAGAGTGAGAAAATGATAAGTGAATAATATAAAAAATAAGTTGAAAGTTAAAATACTTCATTAGACTGAGAATTTAGGATACCTCTGTCTAATGTTAAAATATTAATTAACTATAATAATCTCTGTATTTTCTTTCCTTTTATCTTTCCTTCATTCTATCCACACATGAAGTTTAACTCTTGTGTATGGGTTTTTTTCAACATCTGACAATGTATGCATTAAATCTTTCTTTGCTTATAATTATAATAAATTTCTATTTTTATGTTCAAAATATAATTTAATATGTAAATGAAAAATGTTTTTGAGTATTTTTACGTACCATAGAAAAAAACCACACGCGCACTTTAGCACGTGTTATTTTAGCTAGTTGTAACACTAACATAAAATCCAGTAAAAAATTAAAGAAAAAAGTAAATGACAGCATTAATAAAATAGTACCATTAATATAATATTTATAAAATAATAATAGGTTTTGATGACCTTTTTATCCAGTTGCATTGAAAGAAAACCGCATAAGTAATCACAAAAGTAATCAATCATTTTAGAAAATAGTTACAAAAAGGGTGTTAAAAAGAAATACATACATATATCTACAAAGTCTCTGAGAATCTAATACAAAGTAGATATTTTCAAACATGAAATGACTAATTCTAAAAGTAAAAAAAATTATAACCATAACGCAAGCGTACATTGTGTCAAACAAAATTGTCTAACATGTATCTTGAAATTCCTGCAAGCCAAACCGATTTGAAATAAACATGACATTGAAAGTGTACTTTATAGTGACAATAAGTGTGTCATTATGCTTAGGATCAGAAGAATATGTGCAACTAATTTCAAACATTTATGAATTTTCTAATCGTACCTCCGTGACTTTAATTCACTTTGGCTCAACTGACGGTCAGTTTCTTAATTAAAACATTATTATATTAAAAAACTTAACAAAAATTACGTTTCAATTACGTTTCACAGATTCAAGCAAGAAACAATTAATTTTCGACACTCAAGTGCTTCTATTAAAAAAAGGGTTTCCCGTGTCGAACACAAACTTCAAGAAATTAGATTCAATAAAGAAAAAGGAATATGACAGTGTTGAAAAATTTTACGAAAGCGACAGATTATTGATTGTCTTTTTTGTATCTTCTTTGCAAGACTTCAGTGACATGCTGCACATTACAAAATTAATGAAACGAAAGAAAGTGATAACCTTTCTTTTGTTTGTGAAAATTGACGATTCTCCTGATTTGCCGTCCTGCATGAATCCAGTTGGTAATCCATTGAGATTAGGCAGAGGAGTCTCCGTCCTTGTCAAGTGCTATGAAGATCCGGATATTCGTGAATGGCACTCAGTTAATAATAACGAGATACTTATTAAAAAAAGAGCAACTTGGATACCGAAGAAAGGAATCACTTCTATATCCAAAAGATTAGTATTTGGCGATAGAGAATTTCTACGAGGAAAGACTTTACTGGCAGCCTCAATACGGGTGAGATGCAATATATGTGATTTTTATATTTTTTATATTTCTAAGAGTCTATTGTCAGTATTCTCAAGATTTATAGAGATTCTTGCTATTATTTATTTACTCTTCTTGTTATTATATTATATTATTCAGTATAAATTCTTAAATAATAATTAAACATAGGAGAGCGACACAATAGGGAACTATTTCAGTATGATATGTGTTGCCCTTGAGGAAGCTGGAAATTTCAAAATTAAAAAAACCCATATCGTGGCTGATTATGGAATACTTGATGAACGGACTAATACATGGAATGGTGCCGTGAGCTTAATTATGAACGAAACAGTTGACATGGCAGTGGGTTTCTTCACCTTCTTACCCAGTGGACTTAGGGTTGTTGATTATACTGTAGGGTTCGTAAGAGCTGAATTTGTTTTAATCATAAGAAAACCAGAAAGTAGAGTTCTTGTGTCATGGTCAGCACATTTTCAGGTAAGATTCGCCTTTAATTAATCAGCTGCACAGACAACTCATTATTTGCCCTAATTAAAAGTATAAAATTTTCTATGTTCGATAAAATCCAAGTTTCCACTTGGGGAATTAGCTTTTGGCTGCGATATGTTCAAAAAATTTTTCAAAATTAAGAAACATATAGTTTACTAAATAAAAATAAACATTTAACTCAAACTTGAACAAGTTCATTTAATTTAATTAATTCACTATTTGCAGACATTTTCACTCCAAGTATGGATATTTATTATATGTACAGTCATACTGCTTCAGATTGTTTGCATTCTTATGAAAAACAACTCGCCAACTCAATGTTATGACAAATCGTCGTATACCGACGATTTTTTTAATATTTATGGAATTTTTTGTCATCAAGAAGTAATGGGTAAAATGTTAAAGAGTTTATCATATATATGAAATCATACTTGTGAATGAATTATGTTTTTTTAAAATTATTATTTGCAGTTACTACGAGTGCGACGTCCATAAGAATATTGTACACATCTGTTGCTATCTTCTCCTTTTTTATTTGGTCAATTTACTGTGCCGGTTTTGTTAGTAAATTGACAGTTGTTGATTCTAATGTTAAATTTCGATCAATGGAGGAATTCGTGAAAGTAAAGACTCACAAGCTAATAGTTTTTAAGGAAACTTCCAATTATGTCAAATTAAAAGTAAGTTGATTTTGTGTACATTTCCAAACGACTTAGGAGAAATCATTTTAATATTTTCGGTACATTATTTTAAGAATGCTACGGAGCCTACATTCATAGAAGCTGCCAAGTTGCTTGTAAATGAAGACCAACTACCGACAAATAACGATGATGCTGTAGAGATGGTATGAAATTAATAATCATTATTTATAACTTTTCTTAAAAGTAAAAATAATTAATGTTACAGATCTGCAAGCACAATATGGCTCTTTATATAAACGATATATTTGTGCCATTAGTACACTACACTAACATCTCTAATCTTTGCCCAATGTTAACAATTAGAACTGGTGACTTTGATTCTTTTGTTTTTTTGTTAAATAAACACAGTCCTTATAAAGCAGCGATAAATTATTAGTAAGTATTTATTGTCCTAAAGCCATCATGCTTTCGTCTTAATGATCGGTTGACAATATATTGCGTAGAATTTCTCATTTTCAAATATATTTCTCATCATATTTCTCAAAAACTGCATATCTCTCTTCAGAATAAAGAATTCTAGGTTTTTTAAAAAGTTGAAAGTTTACTAATTCAAACTATTGTTTCAGTCTAAGAAGATTTCATGAAAATGGAATGTTGGATAGAATGAAACCGGCCATTTACAGTTCGACTCCAAAATTTGAGGAATTTGACAACCAATTTACGAGCGTCACTGCTGTGGCTGTTGCAATGATTTTCACAATGCTGTTTGCAAGTTTCATTGTATCAATTATAATGCTATTGTTCGAGAAGCTCTACTTTTTCCTTGAAAGGACAAACGAAAAAAATCTCCAAACAATACTCAATTCGATAAGCAGAAAAAAATAATACATTTACAGCTCATAGAAAAAATAACATTTTTGTTTCTATTTTGCATTCATTAATAAATTGTGAGGTTTTAAATTATGTAACAAGAAGTACTGGGTAAATCTTTTATTTTCTTACATTGTGAAGTAATTTTCTGTAGTATTTCGTTTTAGTTTACCTATTTTTATGAATATTACATTTAGAAAAATATTTACACTAACTGATAATACTGGTCTCAGGTTCTTTTGGTAATTTTAAAAAAGTTATATGCGAAGAAAATTAAAATAGCGGTCTTACAGACCTGTGTTATTTTAAAGGTTAAAAAAATTAAGACCATATAATTATAAACTTGTTTTTAATATTACAATATTTTGATATTATCTCATAAAAATTAGCAGAGAGTAAAAGAAGAAATAAATACATTAATCAAATAGTAATAATCATACAATATTTATGAAACAATATTATAGGTTTTAATGACTCTTTTATCCAGTTGAATTGAAAGAAAAGCACATAAGTAATCACGAAAGTAATCCATTATTTTAGAGATTAAAGAAGGGTGTTACAAATAAATACATATTAATACAATTATAATAACTCCCTAAAAATTCAATACCAGTGGATATTTTCAGTCATAAAACAACTAGTTCTAAAAGTAAACAATCGCAAACTAACATGGTGACAAACAAATTCCTTTAAGTGAAAGAACTTTGAAATAAGCATGACATTAACAGTGTACTTTATAGTGACAATAAGTGTGTCATTATGTTTAGGATCAGAGGAATATGTGCAACTGATTTCAAATATTTATGAATTTTCCAATCGTACCTCCGTGACTTTAATTCACTTTGGCTCAACTGACGGTCAGTTTCTTAATTAAAACATTATTATATTAAAAAACTTAACAAAAATTACGTTTCAATTACGTTTCACAGATTCAAGCAAGAAACAATTAATTTTCGACACTCAAGTGCTTCTATTAAAAAAAGGGTTTCCCGTGTCGAACACAAACTTCAAGAAATTAGATTCAATAAAGAAAAAGGAATATGACAGTGTTGACAAATTTTATGGAAACGACAAAATATTGATTGTCTTTTTCGTATCTTCCATGCAAGACTTCAGTGACATGCTGCACATTACAAAATTAATGAAACGAAAGAAAGTGATAACCTTTCTTTTGTTTGTGAAAATTGACGATTCTCCTGATTTGCCGTCCTGCATGAATCCAGTTGGTAATCCATTGAGATTAGGCAGAGGAGTCTCCGTCCTTGTCAAGTGCTATGAAGATCCGGATATTCGTGAATGGCACTCAGTTAATAATAACGAGATACTTATTAAAGAAAGAGCTACTTGGGACTTTAAGAGGGGATTTACTTCAAAATCAAGAAGATTAGTATTTGGCGATAGAGAATTTCTACGAGGAAAGACTTTACTGGCAGCATCTATTTCGGTAAGATGCGATATTTGTAGGTTTCATATTTTTTCTATATCTAAGAGTATATTATATCATCGTTCTCATAAAAGTTATTAAAATTTTTCCTATTATTTGCTTCTACACTTGTTATTTCATTATTAAGTATAGATACTTAAATAATAATTAAACATAGGAAACCGACACCATGGGGAACTATTTAAGTATGATATGTGTTGCTCTTGAGGAAGCTGGAAAGTTCAAAATTAAAAAAACGCATATAGTAGTAGATTATGGAATACTTGATGAACGTACAAATACTTGGGATGGTGCCGTGAGCTTAATTATGAACAATACTGTTGACATAGCAGTGGGTTTTTTCACCTTCTTACCCAGTGAACTTTTGGTTGTTGATTTCAGTATAAGATTTATAAGAGCCGAATTCGCTATTATCATAAGGAAACCGGAAAGTAAAGTTCTTGTTTCATGGTCAGCATACTTTGAGGTATGTTTGACATTTAATGCACCATAACTTGCATTTATTCCAAATGACATCCAATAATTGATTAATCAAATTCATGTATTTTGCACAAAGAGCATCAGTGGAAAAATCAATTTGACACCTCCTTAAGACGCAAATGAAATGTAGCACTAATCAAATTATTGGTAGTCTTGATTCACAGTGAGTTTACAAATAAGTTCATTTAAATCCCAAGTTCCTACTCGGAGACTTGAATTTTGGTAGTCATTTGTAATAAATTTCGCGAAAATTAAGTATTTTCTGAAGTGCACTATTCGATACGTAACAAAAGCAATCAATTTCTGTAATTTACTATTTGCAGCCATTATCACTTCAAGTTTGGATAATTATAATATTTACAGTCATACTGCTTCAAATCGTTTGTATTCTCATGAAAAATACCTTACCAACTCAATGTTATGAGAAATCATCGTATGCTGACGATTTTTTTAATATTTATGGAATTTTTTGTCATCAAGAAGTAATAGGTAAAATGTTAAAGATTTTGTCATAAAATCATTTGTTGATTATATATTATCTTTAATTCATTGTCTTCAGCAGTATTAAATGATTTGCGAGGTTTAAAAAGTTGTTTATTTTAATTTTCTAGTTACTACGAGTGCGACGTCCTTAAGGATATTGTACACATCTGTTGTTATCTTCTCTTTCTTTATTTGGTCAATTTACTCTGCTCGATTTGTGAGCAGATTGACAGTTGTGGATTCTAATGTTAAATTTCGATCAATGGAGGAATTCGTGAAAGTTAAAACACACAAGCTCATTGTGTTTAAAGAAACTGGCAATTATTTTAAATTGAAAGTAAGATGCATATTTTGTGTCATATAAAGCTTTCTTGTTTAGAAAAGAATTGTGTTTTAGAATTTATTTATTTCCTTTAAAAAAGTGCAAGTTTTAGAAAACGTTTTTTAAATTACGATTAAAAGTTTTTGGTACATTTTTTAAGAATGCCACTGAATCCACATTCATAGAAGCTGCCAAGTTGCTTGTAAGTGAAGACCAACTACCGACAAATAACGATGATGCTGTAGAGATGGTATGGAATTAAACATTGTTTATAAATGTTCTTAAAAGTCAAAATTAATTAATAACCTTTTAGATTTGCAAGCAAAATATGGCTCTCTACTTGGACGATATATTTGTACCATTAATGTATCACAATAACGTTTCAAATCTTTGTCCGATGTTAACAATTGGAACTGGTGACTTTGATTCCTTTGCTTTTCTTGTGAATAAACATAGTCCGTATAAAGCGGCGATAAATTATTAGTAAGTATTTATTGCAGTAGAACCGTTTGATTGATTATTTCTTTAGCATCGTGATTCTCTCAGAAACTGAATTTTTTCCATCATAATATTAATTTTTTTGAAAGTTTAAAGTTTACTGATTCCAAATATTGTTTCAGTCTAAGAAGATTTCATGAAAATGGAATGTTACCTCGAATGAAACCGGCCATTTACAGTCCTGCTCCAAAAATTGAGGAATTTGACAACCAATTTACGAGCGTCACTGCTGTGGCTGTTGCAATGATTTTCACAATGCTGTTTGCAAGTTTCATTGTATCAATTATAATGCTATTGTTCGAGAAACTCTACTTTTTCCTTGAAAGGACAAACGAAAAAAATCTCCAAACAATACTCAATTCGATAAGCAGAAAAAAATAAAGCACAGTGTCTATATATACATGGAGAGAAGTTCCTGAAATTTTACTGAATTTATATCGGTGAAACTGGGATGAACCGTCAAAACAGTAATTTTTCAAAAACTAAACTGTAAAAGCAATTTTATTAATGAATATTGTAAAAAGCATAAACCTTACGATACATGTATTAGCGCTTTAAGGGAGCGTTAATAAATGATGTCACGTTTTTTGGGGGAGGGGGGTCTCTACTAACTACTAAACGTGACACAATGTATTTTTACATGTAAAATTGCGTGACATCATTTATGAACCCTCCCTAAGTAATATATTTAAACTTCAATTGAGTCTTTAACGTTTCATTTACAGCTCAGTAAACCGTTTACTGAATAGTTCGGTGAAACGTATAAGATAAGGTATGCGGTAAAATTGATCAGTTAGAATTTATTGTATGGTTTGGTAAAACTTGAAGATACATACATAATATGTAGATAGATAATACATACATACATCGCATTTATTTTAGGCAAGTCAAGGAAGTTTTACCGAACTATTCCTGAAATGTTAGAACCTATCAAGGATGTATTCAAAATAAATCTTAAATTCTATTTAATTTACATTAAATGTCCACTTTAAATTGTTTTCTAACTTTCACTGTACTATAGCTTGTAAGAAATAAAGATATCACATTAAATTTTAACCATTATTGCTGAAAAAATAACTTTAAAATTATTAAAAAGTACGATAACTTTATTGAAAAATTCGGTAAAATATAAGGAACAAATTTTCTCCGTGTATAGAAAAAATAACATCTTTGTTTTTATTTTGCGTATTCATTAACAAGTTCCACTTTTTTTATGATGTTAAAAAAAATTAAGACCGTATATCTATACTTCATTAGACAAAATCTAGTTTACTTGCTTTTAGTGTTAAAATATTGTAATGTTAACATAATTAATATACACTAAAAAAGTAAGTGACAATATTAATAAAATAGTAATAATGTAGGTAGGGGAGAGTGGGGCAAAATGGGGTAGGCGGGTCAAATGGGGTACCTCTGTTTTTCCATGATAGGTACTTTTAATTTTTTTAACCTCGACATATATCATTCATGTTGATAAGAAACTGTTATTAATTATGAAGACACCCGAAAGAAAATTTTTTTTTGAAAGTTATACAACTTTTAAGTTTTAAGCAAAAAAAATATGAATTTTTTTCAAAATTAAAGTGCTTACCAAACTTTTTGGGTTAATGCATTTAATTTGGCAAGTGTGGGATCTTTTTCAGTACTTATTCTAGAGTAATTTCCAGTAGAATAGATTGTTTCATTGTTTACAATAACTTGTAAACATTGCATTTTGTTTTAATATGCAGTGTGGGGCAGAATGGGGTACCTAAGTGTGGGGCATGCCGGAAGCTACGCCGTTCCATTAAAACTATTTAAAAACATTATATTATGCATATTTAAAGGTTTCCTGCAAAAGAATCGATATTTTTGCTTCGAGGCATTTATACTATCGATGTTTCATTATCGATATATCGATATTTTGCAAAAATCCATGTTTTTTTGTTAAATTCTAATAAATATTACTTGTTTTTTCATAGTAATAAAATATCCTACTTTTTGTTCATATTTATAATCTCATACAACAAGAATTTAATGAATTTTGAAAAAATATTCAATGTTTTGTACAGTTATTTGATGCCACCCCATTTTGCCCCACGGGTTAGGCAAAATGGGATTTTAGCACTTTCTTAGAAAATACGATATAAGTTCTTTCAAAAATTTTTTTCTCCGCTATTGTCATAATTTCCTCAAAGCCAAGTGTACAAAGAAGAATTCTGAAGTTTAGCTGAATCGATTTATTCGTTTGGTTCTCTGTAAACAGCCAATTTCAAAAAGGTACCCCATTTTGCCCCACTCTCCCCTAATATTTACAAAATAATAATAGGCTTTAATGACCATTTTATCTAATTAAATTGAAAGAAAAATACATATTATATTATGTAATCACAAAAGTAATTCATCATTTTAGAAAACATTTACAAGAAGGGTGTTCAAAACAAATAATATATCTATAAAGTCCCTGAAAATCCAGTACAAGTAGATATTTTCCGACAAGAAAGAACTACTTCTAAATGTAACAAAATAATAAATATATTGCAAGCGAACATTGTGACAAAAAAAATTCCTTCAAATGAAATAGATTTAAAATAAACATGACATTGAAAGTGTACTTTATAGTGACAATAAGTGTGTCATTATGCTTAGGATCAGAAGAATATGTGCAACTAATTTCAAACATTTATGAATATTCTAATCGTTCCTCTGTGACATTACTTCACTTTGGCTCAACTGACGGTCAGTTTCTTAATTAAAACATTATTATATTATAAACTTAACAAAAATTACGTTTCAATTACGTTTCACAGATTCAAGCAAGAAACAATTAATTTTCGACACTCAAGTGCTTCTATTAAAAAAAGGGTTTCCCGTGTCAAACACAAACTTCAAGAAATTAAATTCAATAAAGAAAAATGAATATTACAGTCTTAAAAATTTTTACGGAAACGACAAAATATTGATTGTCTTTTTCGTATCTTCCATGCAAGACTTCAGTGACATGCTGCACATTACAACATTAATGAGGCGAAAGAGAGTGATAACCTTTCTTTTGTTTGTGAAAATTGACGATTCTCCTGATTTGCCGTCCTGCATGAATCCAGTTGGTAATCCATTGAGATTAAGCAGAGGAGTCTCCGTCCTTGTCAAGTGCTATGAAGATCCGGATATTCGTGAATGGCACTCAGTTAATAATAACGAGATACTTATTAAAGAAAGAGCTACTTGGGACTTGAAGAGGGGATTTACTTCAAAATCAAGAAGATTAGTGTTGGGCGCTAGAGAATTTCTTAGAGGAAAGACTTTACTGGCAGCCTCAATACGGGTGACTTGTTCATTATAAATTGTGACATGTCTAATTATTATTTCATTTATCTAAAGAATCACCATCAGATAAACGTTTCGACATTTTGCCAAGGAACCACCAATAAAATAGTAATAATCCTCGCAGAATTATTACTTTTATTGATGACTTCATTACTATTTTTGCTCTTGTTATTATTTTACTTTATACAATAAAAGAATAATTTAACACAGAAAACGGACACCATAGGTAATTATTTCGGTATGCTATTTGCTGCTCTTGAGAAGGCTGGAAATTTCACAATTAAGAAAACAAATATAATAGAAGATTATGGAGCACTTGATGAACGTACTAATAAATGGAATGGTGCCGTGAGCTTAATTATGAACAAAACTGTTGACATAGCAGTGGGTTTTTTCACCTTCTTACCCAGTGAACTTTTGGTTGTTGATTTCAGTATAAGATTTATAAGAGCCGAATTCGCTATTATCATAAGGAAACCGGAAAGTAGAGTCCTTGTCTCATGGTCAGCATATTTTCAGGTATGCTTTTCAATAAAATTATTGCATTTTCTTAAATGCACTACTCGATACTTAACAAAAGCAATGTATTTCGGTAATTCGCCATTTGCAGCCATTTTCACTCCAAATTTGGATACTCATAATATGTACAATCATACTGCTTCAAATCGTTTGTATTCTCATGAAAAATACCTTACCAACTCAATGTTATGAGAAATCATCGTATGCTGACGATTTTTTTAATATTTATGGAATTTTTTGTCGTCAAGAAGTAACAGGTAATATGTTACAGATTTTGTCATAGAATCATTTGTTTTATCAAATATTATTTTAATTCAAAACTATTGTTTTCTTATTGAACTGTTTTGAGAGGTTTAAAAATTTGTTTACTTTAATTTTCTAGTTACTACGAGTGCGACGTCCATAAGAATATTGTACATATCAGTTGTTATCTTCTCGTTTTTTATTTGGTCTATTTACTCTGCCCGATTTGTCAGTAAATTGACAATTGTTGATTCTAATGTTAAATTCCGAACAATGGAAGAATTCGTAAAAGTTAAAACACACAAGTTGATAGTTTTTAAAGAAACTTCCAATTATTTCAAATTAAAAGTAAGATACACGTTTTATGTCAAACAATGCTTTCTTGGTTATCAAACAATTGTGTTTTAATTTTTTTTCTTCGAAAAAATGCGATTTTTAAAAAGCATTTTTTAAAATTACGATTAACAGTTTTTGATATTGTTTTTAAGAACGCCACTGAATCAACATTCATAGAAGCTGCTAAGTTGCTTGTAAATGAAGATCAACTACCGACAAATAACGATGATGCTGTAGAGATGGTATGGAATTAAACGTTGTTTATAACTTTTCTTAAAAGTCAAAATTAATTAATAACCTTTTAGATTTGCAAGCAAAATATGGCTCTCTACTCGGACGATACATTTGTACCTTTAATGTATCACAATAACGTTTCAAATCTTTGTCCGATGTTAACAATTGGAACTGGTGACTTTGATTCCTTTTCTTTTCTGCTGAATAAACATAGTCCATATAAATCGGCAATAAATTATTAGTAAGTAGTAATTGCATTAGAACCGTCATTTTTTGTCTCAATTTGATTGATTATTTCTTTAATATCGCGATTCTCGCAGAAACCGAATTTTATCAATTATTACGTTTTTTTGAAAGTTTAAAAATCACTAATTCAAAATATTATTTCAGTATAAGAAGATTTTTTGAAAATGGAGTGATGGCTCGATTGAAACCGGCCATTTACAGTTCTGTTCCAAAGATTGAAGAATTTGACAACGAATTTACACACGTTACTGTTATAGCTGTTGCAATGCTTTTTGCAATGCTCTTTGCAGGTTATATTATATCAATTACAATGCTTTTGTTCGAAAATCTCCATTTTTTGCTTGAAAGAACAAAAAAACAAAATATTTTCTTTAGAAAATCTTATAAACTGAATAGTAAGTTGTAAAAGTTTTTCTTGGAAAATATCTTCTACACAATATAATTTTATAAATTAATTTTTAAGGTTTAATTTGTAATTTTGAAGCATAAAATGTAAATATATCGACAACATACTTTAGTGTGGAAGAGTAAATGTTGAGAAATATTGATTCATACCCCTCCTAAGAAATAAAGTTAATGTGAAACATATACATTTAATTATTCAGGCAATTATCTTTTGTTTGAAGAAAATATTTTAGTTAATTGTTATTAATTCATAAAAAATAGGAAATGGGAAGGAAATGTTAAACTTTAATTTATAAACTCATTTAAGGCTAGGGTTAAATTTCTAAAACAGCTTTTTCCTATTAGTGGAAACATTAATAAGGTATATCAACTCATGAAATCATTAAGCAAGTAGTTGGAAAAGAAAAATTGACAATATTAATTAAATTGCAACGATAATAAAATATGTATAAAGTGTGAATAGGCTCTAAGAACCTTCTTGCTCAATTAAGTCGAAAAAAGTATAAATAGATGTAATCAAGAAAATAATTCATCAATAAGAGAAGGGTGTTAAAAATATGTATATTTACACATAATTAAAAAGACTAGCATTTCATATGAGTAAATATTTTCAGACCTTACACATCCTTTTTTAGTACTGGTTAATAATTATAAATATACTTTATTTTAAATCTAAAATATTTGAAACAAAAATGATATTAAAGGTGATCACTTTATAAACAAATTTAAGAAATTTGTATTATAATAACAAAAAATTTCTTTCACAGATTTCAATGTAAAGAATCTAATTTTTGACACACGCAAGTATTCTTATTAAAAAGATTAGCAGTGTCGAGCATAAACATCAAGAAAATAGTAACAACAGAAGAATATTACAGTCTTGAAAGCTTTAACGGAAATGATAAAATACTAATTGTCTTTTTTATATCTTCTGCACAAGACTCTAAGGATTTGCTGCATATAACAAAGTTATAATCACGAGAAGAAAAGTATTATAAATCTAATTATATTTGTTAAAATTGATGACTCTCCAGTCTTGCCTTTTTGCATGAATTAAGTTTCCATTTTTCATAATTGCCTTTCTAGAAAAATAAAATTCCATTGGCATGAATTTTATTCTATTATCTACATTGGAGCGATTTGAAATAAAAATGTATCACATACAATGTATGAACAGAAGGATTGTCAATTTTTTAGCATTTATAGCAATTGACCAATGGGTTATCTTGACTAAAGTTGATAAAGGTCAGGGTTTTTCTATAATTATATTGCAATATGTCACTGCCGAAGTTTCTTTCGCCGTCAAATTCCATCAAGTGTCTGAAATAATCGCTTGATAAGCATTTCCGCTCCTTTTTGATAAAAGTGTACACGGCACTAAATATGGCATTACATTTACCTCCTATAGTAGGACTACAACCGGTAGATATAAAACGGTAATCTTAAACATGAGGTTATAGTCACTATTGGAACCTTATCTACGCACAACGAATGTGATGCTCAAAATATCAATAATCTACAATTATCTACAATTCTACATTTTGTGTTCGATTTCCAGGAAAATAAATATTTTCCAAAGTGAGCACATTTATGGGTAAGAAAAGATCGATGTGCTAAAATAGCAAAAGCATTTTACGATTTTAAAAATTGACGGAAGAAAATAAAAAAGTTTTCACAGTCCATTGGCCCACCCATGTTAATCCTCTGCTTAACTTCATTGCCACGTGCATTCTTGCCATAAAAACAGGACTTCTCCTCCTGAAATCATTCATATGTTCCTGGTATTGTATAACGACTTGGAATTGATTTTGTGAACTGATGGCTCTCAATCTCTAAGTTGAAATAAGAAATAAAGACAACGATGTTTGAGCAACTCTTTTGGCTCGAAGGAATGCTCCTTCGAATTGGTTTGATCCCTTTCAATATATCCACGTGCCGGCTTTCTTTTTTCTTTGCAATCCTTTCCTTAAGAGGATTTACTTTTTCTACATTTTAAACTACATAGAACTTATACCATATAAATTTCATTCGTACCTTTTTTCAAACAATTCCTTCAAAGCATTTCGCTACTTATCATTTTATCATTTCATACTTTTAAATTAATAATATATTTTTCTTTGGAAAAATGCAATAAGCGAAGAGAAAATTTTAATATCTAACCAGACATGTAATTGTTGAGAAAAATTGATTGATTAATTAATTAAAGAGTTGAACAATTTGTGAAAAGTTGTAATAAACTTTGGTTTTTATGTTGAAATAAATTTTAATGAAGGAAAAATGTGAATGACTATTTGGCGCCAGAGTTTTGCAATTACGTACATAATGTACGAGACAACACGCTGCTTAACAATACATTGATTGATATCGGAAAGCTCCCTCTTTTTACGAGTACCTGCATTATCTCTGTACTAAAGGTGTCAGACTTGCGCGACGTTCCACTTACACTACACAAACACTCGCAAATTTCTTATACCGACAGGTGCATTTCGGAACTATTTATTTTTTCTATTCGCGTAATAGTGGAAATGACATTCGACAAACCGCTAAATGGATTGAGGAAGCATTCTACCGTTTCTACCTTTAACAGAACTGTAAAAAATGTATTGTTTTAAGCCTAATTTTGAGTCCTAATACTAAATTTCTGATTAAAAACTGATTTTAAGACGTTAAATTGTCTAATTTTGAATTTAAGCCCAAAAATGAGTTGAATTAAAAAAAAGACGTTTTGAGCTATAAATACTTAAAGATTTTGTTTTCATAGTGAGGATATTGCTGAAATATTGCCGGGAATAGAAAAGCGGATAAAAAAATGAGTTTTTAACTGAATGGATGTGCATTATAATAAGTGTTGTTGGGGCCTTGGAATGTGCCATTACGGCAGTATAGCACCTTTACACTTAACTCATGTAATTCACTTGGAAGGTTTAGTGTCGGAAAGTACGCCCTTTTACCGCCTTGCAGCGTCAACAATTACCGTTCCAAAAGCAACCTCACCTCTCGTGTTTTAGTCTATATCCTCAGCGTCGCGTCAAGACCGGCTGATGATCTTCGAACCGAACTCGTAGGGGAGTCGAGGTGAGTTGTAACAAAGGGGCCGTCCATAAATTACGTAACACGTTTTTAGTGAAATTTTGAACCCCCCCTCCCCCTATGTAACAGGTTGTAACAAAATCGTTTTACCCCCCCCCCCCCTCTATCATTGTTACGTAATTTTTAAAAATATTTTTTTTACTAACGTTTTTCGAAACAAATTTGTTTATTACTGTTATTTTTAGTATTTATATCGTACAATAGCAATACAAAATTAAATTAAATATAAAAAACATTTAGAGGAATAATTTTATTAATATTTATATTTTTTTTTTACTTGTATTGAAGTGGCGGCAAGGGACAGCTTTTGAAAAATTTATCGATTATAAAGAGATTAAGTTCCTTATAAATATTACGTAACAATGATGATTGACCCCCCCCCCCTCCCATGTAACATATGATAACATTTTCTCGAACCCCCCCTCCCCCCTAAATGTGTTACGTAATTTATGGACGGCCCCAAAGTCGATTTCTCAAAAGCCGTGAGCTTTTGGAAATTTTTAAAAACGTGGATTTATTACATTTTTTATTCACTCTGATGCAAATTTAATTTAGGATTGTCTTTGACGCGTATTTCCTTGTTTTTCTTTTCATTTTCTTCCTTCTTTATTGCGAACTTTGTCTTTAATTAGCCAAAAAGTTCATCTACTTTAGATTTAGCATCATTGAATTGGGAATTTTTGTTTTAAAAAAGTAACTTTGTAAACGTTGGAAAAATGGAATTCCACTATTTTTTTTCTTGTAAATTAATTTCTTCTTTTTTCTTTCTTCTTCTCATGTTTATTGCCATTTTTTCTTGAAAGTTGGGTTCATTTTTAACCCAATTCTCTCGTAACCACGATTCAGTTTTGTGACGAAAGCAAAATTCAGCGAAATAAGAAACTTCTATCATTAGACCGGAAATATGTTGATTTTAAAAAAAACTTGGGCACTCTACATGTGTTTCAATTCATTTCTGAAATAAGTTGTAACACTGCAAGTTGTTTTAGATTTTTCAATTTTTTTTTGTAGACCCTAATATCGTTTTTATTTTTGATTCGAATACTACATAAAACCATGTATCAAAAATGATAAGGCTCATAAAAATAGGACTATTTTCGACTGAGTTATACTTGGTAATATAAAAATCGTTTCAACTCACGTCGGTCTCCCCTACATACCGACAGCTTTCGAACACTCCAACATTGTAATTATGTTAATAATTGAGTACCAGGATTTTTATGGGTTTCGCCTACTTAGAATATCAGCTTGTGGGGTTTGGTCCAAAATATGCAGGTGCATGCAAAATTTTTCAACAATAATTTCATTCTATAGAGTAAATGAGGCTGCATTTTGCTGCGGTATGTGTGGTCTCGTTCCCTCTCCTCTTTTCGCAGTTCCACCTTCAATTTCAATTTAATTTAGATGGCCCAACAGGGATACCACAGGTACCACAAGTACAACTTGATTTCCTGGTTGGAAAATATTGGGACCAACAAACGCATCTTAGCGTTAAATGTTGAGAAACAGCGGGTCGTATATCTTCGGGTCGATCTCTCATAGTCTCTTTTGGAAGAACAGGTTCAAGGGTTAACATTCATTCATTATCGTTTGCACAAAACTAGCCAAACAACAGCGGCTCATTGTCCGATTCATGCTTGGCAGAAGTGAATGCAAATACAACTATGCGTTAAACAGGCGTTTTCTTCATTTCTCATTTAATTTCCAATTCCGCAAATTGTCGAAGATGATAATTTTTATTACTGCACTAACTTTGCAACTGCAGGGGAATAGAAAGCATTGACCTTCGTTTGATGTTCGGCGAAACAAGTTGACAAAAAAGGAGACACGCAGCTCTTTTCATGAAGGGTGATCCTCTCTATTTGGGCATGAGAGGCCAATCCCTGGGTCTTTAGGTCTCAAGGGTGGGAACCGTCAGGAAATTTAAACTAAGACAAGTTTTTCTTTCAAATTCCAAGCTCTATCTTCAAAGAATGCCACACAAAAACGTGTCTATGTCCTTTGTACATATGAATCTTGGAAAAAATTGCTCGTTTAATCATTATTTTAGTAAGCGTGCATTAGTATAATTATTTTCGTCGACTAAAAGAGTTCCTTTTAGTACAAAGTAGAAAATAGGAATAGACTTGTTCGAGAAAAGTGGATAAATTTTAATTTTTAGAATAGTTATCGAATTTTGACCACCTGAGGTTAAAGAGAAAGAAGCTGCACATGACAAGGATGTTTCAAGTGTGAGCCATAAACTTTGGGAGTTTAGAAAGACGGTCTTTCACACCTAACCTCTTTGACCAAAATTATCTCAACCGATTCGTTATCGCTTGAAGAAGAAAGTTATGCGTTAGTTTTGTGAGCAGCGCCCTTAAATGACCGTTCATTGAAAACCTCAAGAGGCAGCCGCCGAGAATATTGAGGCTCGTTTCCAGC